CGCCCAGAATTCTGTCTCCAGCTTCGGTCTCGATGTGCCCGGCGATTTCCCTCATCTGGAAAAGGCGAATCCGTATGAAACCGTAATAGTACAGAATTAATTGTAATTTTTTCCGCTTTTATTTATTGTATTATTATTATCATTATTATTATTATTATCATCATTATTATTTCTGTCCTTTTTTTTGGCCAGTGTCACACCTGGGGTGGGGGGGGGGGGGTCTTGATCCTACCTGGGAAGTCTGGAACTGGTTATTTGACTGGAAATTCGATCCACCTTGGTCTAGACTGGTAGCGAAAGAAGAGATGCCTCGGTTCTGGAAATTCTGCTGCTGCCTTTGCTCTCCGGAGATCTGGAAAGCGTTCTGGTTGCCCTGGAAAGTGGTGCTTCCGGCGTTTTGCCTGTTCTGGAGATTGGATGAGCCGAAGCTTGCCTTGTTTTGGAAGCTGTTAGTTCCAAGATTCTGATTATTTTGGAAGCTGGAAGAATCAAAGTTCTGGTTGTTTTGGAAGTTGGTAGAGCCTTGATTCTGATTGCTCTGGAAACTGGAGGAACCAAAGGTCTGTGCATTCCGGAAAGCGGTAGAACTCAAGTCCTGGTTACCCTGGAAAGTGGTGGATCCGAGGTTCTGGTTCTGGAAAGTGGTAGACCCAAGGTTCTGGTTCTGGTTCTGGAAAGAGGTAGACCCAAGGTTCTGGTTCTGGAAAGTGGTAGACCCAAGGTTCTGGTTCTGGTTCTGGAAAGTGGTAGACCCAAGGTTCTGGTTCTGGTTCTGGAAAGTGGTAGACCCAAGGTTCTGGTTCTGATTCTGGAAAGTGGTAGACCCAAGGTTCTGGTTCTGGAAAGTGGTAGACCCAAGGTTCTGGTTCTGGTTCTGGAAAGTGGTTGATCCAAGGTTCTGGTTGTTCTGGAACCTAGAACTGGTACCAAAACTGACTTGGTTCTGCCCAGACTGGAAGATTGAAGTTCCTTGATTCTGGCTGGACTGGAGAGACGAAACTCCCTGGCTGACCTGGAAAGAAGGTCGTCGCTGATTTTGATTCACCTGAATATTAGAATTTCCTTGTTTCTGGTTGGACTGGAAGACTGAAGTTCCTCTATTTTGGCTGGACTGGAAGGTACTTCCAGAGCTTCCTCTGTTCTGATTAGACTGGAATGCAGAACTTCCCCTATTTTGGCTGGATTGGAAAGCAGAACTGCCTCTATTCTGGCTTGACTGGAAAGCAGCAGTTCCTCTGTTCTGGCCAGACTGGAAGGAACTTCCTCTGTTCTGGATGGACTGGAAACTGGAGCTTCCACGGTTAGTCTGGCTGGCTGGAAGTTCAACTCTCTTCACATCCACGAGGTTGGGATTTGAGAAACGGTAATTGTTAAAACTGTATTGGACTCGGCCATCATTGTTACTGCTGGAATACTGTGTCTGCCTGTTGTTTTGGCTGGAGAACTGATTTGCATTGTTGCTTTGCCCACTGGAGAAGGTGGAACTTTGTTGGGTGTTTGGGAAATTTGATCCTCTTTGACTGCTAAAGACGTTGGAGCCTTGCTGACTGCTGGAGAAGCTAGAACTCTGCTGAGTGTTGGGGAAACTGGTACCACGTTGTCTATTGGAGACACCAGATCCTCGTTGACTGCTGAAGAATCTAGAGCCCTGCTGAGTACTTGGGAAACTGGATCCACTTTGACTGCTGAAAAAATTGGATCGTTGTCTATTGCCGGAACTAGATCCTCGCTGACCTGTAGTAAAGCTGGAACTCTGCTGAGAGCCAGGGAAGCTAATGCCAAGAGA